CTTGCTGCCGTCCGTGCGGCAGCGCCAGCGGCGGCCCACGACGTCGCACGGGTAGATCAGGTCGTTCAAGATGTTCTCAAACACTGCCACGCTCGTGCGGGAGCGTTGCACCTTCTGCAGCTTGTAAACGTCGTTCGGGCGCTTCGTGATCTTGCGCTGCGCCACAAGCGCCACAACACTGCCGGGAAAGCGTTTCTCAAGCTCCGCCGTCAGTGTACGCTGGATCTTGCGCACCAGCATCAGGAACCGCAGTGGGTAGAGAACAACCATCGCCGTCTTTCGGAAGCGCGGGCTCGTCAGAGTGCGGACAGTGTTGATGTGGAAACGCGGAAGCTGCGTGCGGAGCGTCTTGTGGGTCGCCTCCAGCTCAAACAGGACCTTGGCAACGCTGTCCTCATCCGGCGAGGGGTTGGCCCGCTTGAGCTTGCGAAGCTTGCGCAGGTGTGGTTGAACAGACATACCGTCCGCGTGAAGAAGTACCTTTGCGCGGTGAACGCGGGGGAAGAGAAGAAAAACAGAAGAAAAAATGCAGCGCGTGTAGAGGGAAGCGGAGGCGGCAACTGCCCTGCATCCACCACCACCGCCACCACCGCCGCATCCCCAGCGGGAAGAGGCAGCTAGAGCGAGGCGGGAAGAGAGCTGGTACTCACGGCGTTGACCATTCTAAATCGCCGGAAGTACAACTAAAATCAAAACAAATCAAAACCAACAGAAATCCTTTAAAAATAATAATGATGGACGCCGGCAACGTGGGGATTGCGTGCAACGGAGTGGATGGGGCCTCTGCTGCCCCCAACTCACGGTGCCCACCTCCCGCATACGGCTCCGCGTAAAAGCAGGAAAGTAATTCCCACGCAACAAGGGAGGGGGGAAAAGTAAATAATACATATAAATGAATATATATATATATATATATATATATATATTCACAGCAAATTGCTAAGACGGCACTAGGCGTGGCGGTGCAGCGGGTCCACGTATGGCAGCTGCAGCATGGTGAAGATGTCCTCGTCGCTGCACAGCTCAACCCGCTTGCCTGCGTTCGGCGAGCGCTGATACGGCCCGTCGTGCGTCAGCTCATACTCGCTCGTGTGTGCGAGGTACATAAGGTGCGTCAGGAACTGTTTGGGGCCGGTGAGAAAAAGATGCCGCACGTGAAAGCTGTGCGCAGACGACCAAACGAACGTTAACTCCCGCGCCTCCACTCTAATGCGGGGCGCGAGCTCAGGCCCGTACTCTTGAGGTGCACGCGCAAAGCACACGTAGCATAGGCAAACTCCTCCGCACATCCACACATTCCGCCTGACAACGCCCTTGGCGTGGCTGCTGGCCGCCAGGCCCTTCATGGTGCGCCCAATAAAAATCACTTCGCGATTGACCACAAGCTCACCGCGGCTGGGCAGGAGTTCGTCACAACTACTCTGAGCGTCACGTGTCAGCAAAAGCATTGCCCACTTGCCGACAGGGTACCCACACCGCATCTTCCCAACGAGTGTCACCCGAAACCCGTGCGGCCCCAGAAGCTGCTCCACAGAGAGCTGGTGCTCCACCGCATCGTCGTGGGAAACGGTCATTATTTTTTTTTTTTTTTTGATGGAGCAGAAGATGTGATCGGCGCCCCGTTCCTCGACAATAAGCTCACACGCAACGTGGCAAGGTGCCGCGTTGCGCCACGGCAATTGTGCAAAAAAACCTCCGTGGGTAACACTGAGCAAGGAACTCCGCGCATGTGCCTGGAAGCTGTGCGATGTGTTACGCCAATTTTATATAGTCCTGCCGCTCCCTCGACGAAAAGTGACGGCGACCCAGTGTGGCTTGCAGTATCAACTCCTGCACCAGGCGGTTGGGGACGTGCAATGCGCACAGTCGTGAAAAAGACTGCATTGCCGCAGCCCCACGTTTTTTTTTTTTGGGGGGGGGGGGAGGGTTATTTGTGCCCGCCCCTTCCTCGCCGCCGCGTGGGGCCCCGTTTAAGGCTGGCAGGTGCTGTGTTGCCCACTCTTCGGCAAGGCAGGCAACAGAAAAAAAAAAAAAAGGCAAGGGGTGAAAAACATGGCAGCAAGAGTCCCGCTACACGCAAGCACATACGCGTCGGTTCGTGATCGCCAGCAGAAACAAAGATATGCGCCCTCGCCCACGCGGGGAAGCTAACAATCGGGCATTGCAAAGGTACATTCATACTCTTCCTTACATGCTACTGCCGCGCTGGAGCCGGCGCCGCCGCGTCCCTCCCCAAAGTCCCACAGCCGGAACGATACATGATGGCACGGACATACAGTAAAAGCGAGCCGTGAACCCAGACGCGACGGAGGGGGCAAGCAATGAAAAAGCAAGCAAAACCAATAATGCAAAGGAAATGAGACCCAAGCCGTCGTCATCCCCCAACATCGGTAGCTGTCGCTTCACTTCTCCCAGTCCCTGGAGGAGACCGTCCTCTTGCCCGTATTGGTAAGAGTCGCGCAAAATCACCACAGATGAGTCGGCCACTGACAAGCTCAGAAATGATGCAGCGAAACTGCTTGCAAGGCAAATCCTTTTCACACTGCGCCAACGGCGGCACCGGCAACTCCAGCTCTTCCAGCAAGGAAGTCAACTTGGCCCAGTTATTCTCCAGAAGAGAGAACTCCCGCTGCAGTCCGTGCATGTCCTTCACCACAAGATCCTTTTCGTAGGCCAAGAGGTAACGCAACTGCATGGAAGCCTCGCACTTGGTGGCTATGGTGTCATAATGGCCCTCGTACAGGTGAGAGAGATCGTGCAGACAACGCGACCACTGCAACGCGTTCTCTGTGGCGTAGCCAACCATGCGGCATCGACGGTAGTGTTCATCCGTCTTCAATCGATCAATGTGCTGTCGGCACTGTGTAACGAGTTCCGAGCGTAACTCCTGCGACTGTTGTAGCGAATCGGTCAGCCACCGCAACTTTTGTTCCGACTCGGAGGTGAGCCAGCGTTTGTCTAAAAACGCTTCCAGCTCATCGTGACTGTGGTCCAGCTGTCGAAGCGCCAGAGTCTCCGCAATGACTTCCTGCATGAGACGCTCATACCTGAGCTGCTCTGCGTACCACTCTTTTGTTGTTTCCCGGATGCGTCGGGCAAGCTTCTCCTGCGCGTCCTCGCTTTTTTTCGCCTGATATAATTTCGCCTGCAAAGAAGACTGCAAACGATCATGATCCCGTTGATGCTCGGCATTAATCTCCGCCCTGGTGGACTTGGTGCGTTCAATTGCCTCTCTTAATTTATCCATGTAGGCGCGAGCATTCTGTTCCAGGGACGCCAGTACCCGAAGAGATTCACTGTCACACTCCTGCAGGCCCTTATCCATCCTATCTAACTGCTGGGTGGTGTCCTCGGTGATGCTTTGTAGGGCGCTGTTGCAGTCAGTGTGAAGAACCTTCCTCTCCCATAGTTCATTGAGCAGCGTACTGTACACCATCTCCGCCGCCGTGTCGTTGGTAGAGGACGCAGCACCGCCTTTGCCTCCCATCTCGCGCAATGTCTCCCACGCCTCCTTTAACTTAACAGAAGCAGGTTTGTAGACATCAGCAAATGCAAGCTCGCGGTCCTCGCCCCTAGAACCCTCTGAGAGGTAGCGCGTGATGAAGGAAGAGATGTGTAGAAACGAGCGATGGAGTGGCAGGTGAAAGTACCCCTTCTCAATCAGCGCCTCAATCTCAGGAAACCCCCTCGACTGCACGCGCTGAATTGCGTTAAGCAAGAGCGTCAGTGTCTTGGGGAGTTCTTGTCGTCGTTGAAGAATGGGCGCAAAGAGACGACGCAGGCAATGTGGCGACTTGGAGGGGTCAAGCAGATCCTTCTCCGTCTTTGTCCACGCCTTCGCCCTACGTTGCCCCGGCGCCACAGCGGTGGCCGGGGCGGCGGCGGCGGCGGCAGCGGCGGCAGCGGCAGCAGCAACCGACGATGCAGCATCAGCTGGGTCTTGAGGCGGCTCGTGAGAGAAGCCCACATTGTGATCGGCGTGTTCCACGGTGTCAATCAATAAACGGGACGCTCCAGCCTCTCCATTCTCCTCGTCAGCTTCGTTACTGCACAGCCCAAACTCCTCTGGAGTGGGAAAGTTAAAGCGCGCCGCCGCCACCTCGGGGGTCCAAAACTTGTATGCGTCGAACCCTACCAAGCTCTGCGGTAGCTCCTCCTCGATAGCACGACGACGCTGCTTGTTTC